AATTTTCCCCCTTTAAAAAGGCCCCCCGTTTCATTTTATTTTTTTTTACCCAAATTTTTAACAATAGGGGCCCTTTTTTTTGTTTTGGGGGAGTCTTGGAAAAAACCCCCCTGGTCTTTTGGTTGAATCTTTGTTTAAAAATTCACTGCTCGCGAGGGCCTTACGAAATTGTATTAGGGGGTCAGAGATGATTTAGTCTTTCATATCTAGAAAAAACCTGTTATTGCACACCAGAGTGAGTCCATAAAACGTATTATGTGACTTATTAAGCATATTTTACTCCTGAACTTATTTAGGCTTGCCATAACAAAGGGGTTACATACTTATTGACTATAAAAATATATATATAATATATAATTCCATTTTGACATTATAGGCCAGTGTGTCACGTCCTGGCCTTGAGAGGCCGGATGTCTTTAGTTGGTTTGGTCAGGGCGTGAGGATCTATGTTAGAATTTCTATGTTTAGGATCTAGATGTGTATTTCTAGGTTTGGCCGGGTGTGATTCCCAATCAGAGGCAGCTGTCGCTCGTTGTCTCTGATTGGGGATCATACTTAAGTAGCCTGTTTGCCTACCTTAGTTGTAGGATCTTGTTCCGTGTAGGCTTGTATGTGTATAGCCTGAGGACTTCACGTTACGTTGTTTCTTGTTTTGTTGAATGTTTATTTAGTTACGTCTCTCAACGTTTGTGACAGAAGATCCCACCAAAAACGGACCAAGCAGCGTGCCCAGGAGCAGCAGACACCCTGGACACAGGTGGGGAAGTCATTTTGGACTTGGGAGGAGATATTGGCAGGTGGAGGACCCTGGACACAGGTGGGGAAGTCATTTTGGACTTGGGAGGAGATATTGGCAGGTGGAGGACCCTGGACGCAGGTGGGGAAGTCATTTTGGACTTGGGAGGAGATATTGGCAGGTAAAGGACCCTGGGCGAAGGAGGAAGCCCAGGAAGGAGAGGATCAACGGTGCCGGCCGAAGAGGAAGCCCGAGAAGCAGCCCCAAGAAAAATGTTTTTTTTTTTGGGGGGGGCTCACGGGGTGGACGACGAGGCAGCAGGAGGTCGGGAAAGGGCTGACTAGAGAGGAGGATCGAGAGTCTAAGAGAGGAGGCCACCACGTTACGGGAGCTGTTAGATCAGAGGGAGCAGGAGGTATCCGTTCAGAGGGAGGCGCTACAGGAGGCTCAAAGGGAGAAGGAAGTAGTGGAGGCAAGGAGAGAGGAGCTGGTCAGGCAACAGAAGGAGCGTGTGTTCATAGAGGAACCAAAGTATACGCCAGTGCGCATGCACAGCCCAGTGCGTCCTGTGCCAGCACCCCGCACGTGTTGTGTGAGAGTGGGCATCCAGCCAGGACGGTTTGTGCCAGCTGTACACTCCAGACCTCCAGTACGCTTCCACGGTCCAGTATATCCT